ATTTCATGCTTTGGATGCGAGAGTGATGGAGACTCTTCCGGTGACAATGCAGTTTTGCTGCAGCGATGGAGTGTCCAGGTGCCATTGTGCCTGACTTGGCATGTGTGTCAGGGTGTGTGGGAATTGATATTATTTCTAGGATGTTGCTGATTGGTAATTGAAGTAAAGTAGTGATCGTTCTAGTGCAAGAAGCTTCAGATTTGAATAGAAACTTGCCAACAATGCCTTTATGTAGGTTAGTTTACAGCTCAGGTGCTTCAGTCGGAGCAGAGGAACAGTCGTCGGATTTGGAAGCTTTGAACTAGTTCCTTCCTGCCTTGTCTTATGGAAGTGTTCCAGGGGTTATTATTCCGTGTGAAGGTGCATGGCTGCTATGTATGACGTTTCTGAAGCTTTTTTCCTATTCAAAGGTCTATTGCAATGTTTCCCTTTGGAAAAGAATATTTTCTTGAAGTGACTGCACATCAGCGATGAAGACAACGTCATCATCACCTCAAGTGCCACATCAAAGCTGTTATAATCTAGAGCTTTATGAGTATTCCTTCAATCCGTTATGACTTGTTACCGTTTATCGATGGAGGACATAACAAGGGGAGCGGTGGCATCTATACTATTTTTTTTATCTCTTCCGTTATGGATGTTTACCTACTTGTTTACGTTACTGTTAAAACAAAATTTCTAGAAGCGTCGATTCTTCGGGTATAATTCGTTGGCAGATTGAGTTAGTGAGTAAAGTCATTAAAAGCTTTCATGATTGTTGATCTTTATATCAACCGTTATCGTTTCGATTCGTGAACTATTATTATTATCCATGTTATTACATATTTTTATTGTTAAAATGTTTTTTTGTCACCCTTTAACTTTGCTGACCATTTTTTTTTTCACTTTCCCTTGGCGTGTTGAAGTTGTCATTTAGATCACCTAAGACGAAAGGGATTTCTTTTTAGGTGATACTTCTCTTATTTTCTTATCTTTTATTTTTTAGAAGATAGAAATATTGATGAAATCATTTTACATATCTTGGAAAAGCCACGTTTCAGTGATACATAACATATATTTATTCTCCGTAATTACCATTTCAACTTCAAATTGTCCGAGGCGAGACCCTGTCAAGCCCTATTATCAAGAGTGTACATATTGTTTGTTTAACAGACACCTATGAAGACAGGGGCCTGCGATGTGACTGACTAATGGGCACACTGGTAGGAAAAAGAAATAGAACGAGGAAAATGTGTCATTCAAGTAAGCTATATTTATTATTATAATCATTAAGAAGATTCATAAAAATGCAAGTACATTCCACAGAAATGAAGAGACTAGTTGTATAGAGCAGAACAGAAATTAAATAAAAATCGTGTGTGTGTGTTTATAGCTGGTTTGGGTGCATATATGTTCTACCTACGTTGGTCTCTGTGTTTGCACGTAATTTTATACATATTTGTATTTGCATGTAAATAGAAAACGAAGGGAAGCACAAGAAAACATACGAATATGTGATTGCATTCGTTGTTCTATTTGTAATTTGTTCGACATGAATTCCACACGTGTGTGTATTTATATATATATAGGTCCTAATATGAGTGAACGGTGTGTGTAGGTGTGTGCTTATATGATAATAATCAAGTGTGATCGCATGTTTCCATAATTCGTTAATACAGACACTCATTGCTCATGAACAGCACTCTAATCAGCATCCCCGCCACAGTCGCCTATAGCAGCACCTTCGTCCATGTCTTCATCGTTGGGATTCAGAGGATTTTTCTCAGGAATTTTGGGTGCCTGGGAAATTCCTGATCTTCTGCATCTCCCATTCTTGAACAGATTCTAAAGGACATATGAATATTGATTGAGAATTTCTTATATACATATAACTTTGTGTGTGTCACTATGGAAATCAAGAACGGTTCCTGGTTTCAACAAAGTCTTTCTACTGACCGGCACTTGGGAACGGATGCAGTAAAACTCGATTTTCTTTCCCCAATAATAAGTTTATCGAACTTTAGAAATCTTAGACTGTATGAATATGTTTTATATATCTAAACGTTTCAATATAATTTTAGCTTTGGCAAAGCCTTAAAGGAACTATGGGAATTATCCCAATATATTTAAAATGAAGTCTACGAACACCTTTTGTGGGTTACTGCATCGTGAAATAACCTATTTCAATTCTCTAATCACAACAATTTACTTAATGCTATCCCTTTCTAATACTATGAATAAAAAAGATACATTTATTTCTTTAACAACTATTTCCTAATGAGTCATAAACATTCTATCAGCTAATATCAACTATTCACCAGAAAGTAAATAATTAGAACCAAATGAAATGCGATTTCCGACTCACCAGAAATTCCCAGTACAGATGCCTCCAAATAATTGGTTCCGGTATCTTTTCCTGTTGAAGATACAATGATTAGCCTTGAATACATATTCTGATCTCAAAAGGTCTTCTAACCAGAAGTACTGATTTGTCTGTGAATCGACAAGTGTCCATGTGTAGGCCTTTGCTTTCTCTTCTCTCTTCGACTGTCGCTCTCTTCTCTCCTTCTCTCTCTCTCTCTCTCTCTCACTCTTACTCTCACTCTCAGCCTCTCTCTCTCTCTCTCTCTCTCTCTCTCTCACACACACACACACACACACACACACACACTTACTCACTCTCACTCACTCTCTCTCTCTCTCTGCCTGTTTCTCCTTTTGCTCTCCCTGACCC